CAGACACATACAGAAATCATGTTTCACCAGGTCTTCTGGGTATCCCTTAGTTAAGTTGATAACACAGAATAAACATCACAGGCTGCCATAAAGAAAATACCATAATGGCCGGGCCGCAGTAGGCCTCACACCTGTAATCCCAACACTTTAGGAGGCCAAGGCAGGTGGATCACTTGACGGTCAGGAGTTTGAGACCAGCCTGGGCCAACATGGTGAAACCCTGTCTCTGCTAAAATATACAAAAATTAGCCCGGTATGGTGGTGGGCACCTGTAATCCCAGCCACTTGGGAGGCTGGAGGCAGGAGAAATTGCTTGAACCCAGAGGTGGAGGTTTGTAGTGAGCCAAGATCATGTCAACTGCACTCCAGTTGGGCAACAGAGTGAAGACTTTGTCTCAAAAATGGACACACAGCAAAGAAATACCGGTAGAAGCGTAGACTGAGTGGCTTAAACAACAGAAATTTCCTTCTCACACTTAGAGAGGCTGGAAGTCCAACAGCAAGGTGTCAGCAGAGTTGGTTCCTGGTGAGGACTCTCTTCTTGGCTTGCAGACGGCCACCTTCTTGCTGTGTCCTCACATGGCCTTTCCTCTGTGTGCTTGAAGAGACAGCTCTCTGGCATCTCTTCCTTTTCTTATAAGGACACCAGTTTTATTGGATTAAGGCCTCACCCTGATGACCCCATGTAACTTTCATTACCTCTTTAAAGGCCCTATGTCCAAATACAGGCACATTGGGGGTTAGGACTTCAACATTTTAATTTGGAGGGGCACAATTTAGTCCATAATGGGACAAATGAAAAACATTCAGCACACAGCCAGCCTGCAAGCTCCCCAGGTACATATAGACTCATAGACCTTTCGTGAATAGGGGCTGGATCTCCTCATTAGCTTGTAGATCAAGGACAGGAGGGCTGGAGTGCGGGTCTGCTGGGCTGCACACAGTGTCCAGTACATGTATGGATGGGGTGTTTGGGAAGAGCTGTCAGAAGTCCCCCAAAGGTATAATTAATGCAGGACAGTGTTCCAGAGCTGAAGATCATCCCCCACCCCCATGACATGGGTTCCCAAGCCCCTGACCATCAAGGTTGTCCAGAGGCAGCTGCATAAGGAATAAGAAAGCCCCAGTGGGTGGTGCACCAGCCCAGCTCTCCACCTCTCCAAGTCCAGGCTGAGCAGACATGGGTGACTGCTTTCTGGTTCTATATTTGGTCAGGAGGAGGATTTCCTGTCCTTGAAAAAATTCCTGAGATCCTGGGAAGATGTGAAAGCACGACAATTTGAGGGGGGCAGGGAGGGGAAGGAATCCTATGCAGACAGTTCAACTCAAATGAGAGGAGGACAACTAGGACCCCAAGTTGCAAAGTCTGGCTGCAAAACCAGAAGCTTGTGATGGAGCCCCACACCCCAGGGAGACAGGAGAGCATGGTAGGTGTATATTTAAATTAAATCCAGCAGTCCAGGCACAGTGACTCATACCTATAATCCTGGCACTTTGGGAGGCAAGGCGGGCAGATCGCTTGAGGTCAGGAGTTCAAGACCAGCCTGGCCAACATGATAAATTCCTGTCTCTAATAAAAATAGGAAAATCAGCCGGATGTAATCCCAGCTACTTGGGAGGCTGAGGCAGCAGAATCATGTCAACCTGGGAGTCACCAGGTTGCACTCCAGGTTGCACCGAGATCACCACTACTGCACTCCAGCCTGGGTGACAGAGAGAGACGCCTATAATCCCAGCACTTTGGGAGGCCAAAGCGGGTAGATCACGAGGTCAAAAGATCGAGACCATCCTGGCCAAGATGGTGAAACCCCGTCTCTACTAAAAATACAAAAAATTAGCCGGGCTTGGTGGCGCGTGTCTGTAATCCCAACTACTCAGGAGACTGAGGCAGGAGAATCACTTGTTCATCTGCTGCTGGTTTGCGTGTGAAATGGCACAACCACTTTGGAAAACAGTTTTGATTTTATGATATTTTTTAATTTAGTGAATTTATTATTTTTTGGACGGAGCTTGCCCCACCACACGATCAGGGCACGATCTCCCGCTCACTGCAAGCTCCACAAGCCGTCCCCCGCGTCCAGCGCCATGCCCATCAAGCTCCTGATGAACCGGACTACAGTGCGCCCCACTGAGGGGTTGGATGTATTGCGCACCGATATCTATTTTTTTGCACAGGTTTTAAGTAGAGACGGGATTTCACTATGTGCAGGATTTCGGGACTCCCGCACTTGATCATGATCCACCCACCCTCAGCCGCCCAAACGGGGATTTTTTTTACAGCTGAGCCAACCGCTGCCGCAGCCGTAAAAACAGTTTAAAAGACAGATTACTTTGGCAGGCGCAGGCAGGCCAATGCCTGAAGTCAGGGTTTGAGACCATGCTGGCCAACATGGTAAAGACCTCGTCCTACTAAAAATAGTCAAAAAAATACCAGGTGTTGGGGTGTGCCGCCTGTAATCCCAGCTACCACCAGGCTGAAGAGGGGAATCCTTTTTTTTGAAACCCAGGGAGGTGGGGTTCAGTGAGTTCGCGCAAGATCACGCCCACTGCACTCCCACACCTGGTACTAGAGAGCGAGACTCATCTCAAAAAAATCAGAACAAAATAATAAAAAAATAAAGTTAGACTACCATTCCTCTAGCCATTCCATTGCTTAATACTTTTACCCAAGAAAAGAAAAATAGTCCCATATATGAGACTTTGTTGGCAACATGTTCAGAGCAAATTTCAATAATTGCGAAAAACTGAAAACACATCAAAATCGCAGACAGGAGAAACAAATTAAGGCCCATTCCATACGATGGAGTAATTTTTTTTTTTCTGACCAGATCGCGCTCTGTCCACCCAGGTTGAGGCAGTGGCGCGGATCACGTCGCTCCACTACGAAGGCCCCCTCCCGGGTTCACGCCATTCGCTGCCATCAGCCCTCCCAGTACTGGACACAGGCACCGCTCACCACCACCCGGCTAACTTTTTGTTATTTTTAGTAAAATGCTGGGTTTCCATCAACGTGTCTCTGTTTCAGCCAGCGATGGTTTGACTCCCTGACCTCGGACTGCCGCCCGTTCCGGATCGTGACTGCCCCACGCTCGGCCTCCCAAAGTGTTGGGATTACAGGCTTGAGCCACTGTGCCCGGCTAGGATGGAGTAATTCTTAGCAACAAAAAGGAACAAACTACTGATTCACACAATGTTGATAAATCTCAGAATGCACGATGCTGAGTGGAAGAGAGACCACACCGTGTGATTTTATTTATCTGAAAGTTTGCAAAAGGCTCAACTAATCTAGGATGATAGAAATCAGAATAGTTGCCAGGTGCAGTGACTCACACCTATAATCCCAGCACTTTGGGAGGCCGAGGTGGGCAGATCACTTGAGGCCAGGACTTCAAGACCAGCCTGGCCAACAAGTTAAAACCCCATTTCTACAAAAAAACACAAAAATTAGCCGGGTATGGTGGCGTGTGCCTGTAATTTCAGCTACTTGGGAGGCTGAGACACGAGAATTGCTTGACCCTGGGAGGTGGAGGGTGCAGTGAGCTGAGATCGTGCCACTGCACTCCAGCCTGGGTAACAGAGTGAAACTCTGTCACACACAAAAAAAGAATTCAGGAGAGTGGGCCTGACCCCATGGCTCACACCTGTAATCTCAGCACTTTGGGACGCTGAGACAGGAGGATTGCTTGAGGCCAGGAATTCAACACCAGCCTAGGTAACAGCAAGACCCTGTCTGTTTTTACAAAAAATACAAAACTTACCTGGGCTTGGTGGTGAGGGCCTGTAGTTCCAGCTACTCAGAGGCTGAGACAGGAGAATCGCTTGAGCCTAGGAGGTAGAGGCTGTGGTGAGCTATGGTTGCACCACTGCACTCCAGCCTGGGCAACAGAGCAAGACTCTGTCTCTAAAAAGAAAAGAAAAGAGGCTGGGGGCGGTGGCTCACTCCTGCAATCCCAGCACTTTGGGAGGCTGAGATGGGCGGATCACAAGGTCAGGAGACTGAGACCATCCTGGCTAACATGGTGAAACCTCGTCTCTACTAAATAACACACATACACACAAAATTAGCCGGGCGTGGTGGCGGGCGCCTGTAGTCCCAGCTACTCGGGAGGCTGAGGCAGGAGAACGGCGTGAACCCGGGAGGTGGAGCTTGCAGTGAGCCGAGATTGCACCACTGCATTCCAGCCTGAGTGACAGAGCGAGACTCCGCCTGAAAAAAAAAAAAAAGAAAGAAAGAAAAAGAAATCAGTGGAGTGTTTGTGGGTGGGGAATGGATGAAGGAAGATTGATTTCTGGGCCGTCTGAATGGAAATGTTCCTTACTTTGATGGGGTGGGGGCAGGGGGTCGTGCATGCAAATAATACGTGCAGGCATGGGACTTCACCGCATGTAAATTAACCCTCAATAAAGTTCCAGGAAAAGTAATTCCAATTCCAGCGACCGGATTTTGGGCTCAGTTCGGAGGCTAGCCTGCAAGCCTTGCTGGTGGGTGGTATGTGAGGGTGACAGGAAACCCCCAGGCCTCCCCTCTTTAGGGAAGTGGGAGCCTCGCCCTTGCCCCCCTCCGGGACGAGCGGGCAGATCTAAAAGCTTCCCTACCGCGGCCCAGGCGGTCGATAGCAGACTCCCAGGCTCCGTGTCTGCCTGCCCGGCAGCCCGGGCCCTTCCCGCCAGCCCAGCCCCCGGGAGGGGACTCGAGTTGGGCGGAGCCTCCTCCCCTGCCGCACGCCGGGCTCTGCTCTCCCTCCCCGGATGCCCCTCCTTCTCCATCCCCAGAAGTCTCAGCCACTGAGATTCCCCTTGTCCGGGAGGCTGGCTGGAGGGGAAGACCCAGGTGACTGCGCTTTGGAGGCTGGACCATCGTGGGGCCTGTCTGTGCCCACTTTTACCCCATTCAAGAGTTACCAGGGCCAGGCGCAGTGGCTCAGGCCTGCAATCCCAGCACTTTCGGAGGGCAAGACAAGAGGATCGCTTGAGCCCAGGAGCTTGAGAACAGCCTGGGCAACATGGTAAGACCCCATCACTATATTAAAAAAAAAAAAAAAAAGAAAAAGAAAAGAGGCTGGGCGCCGTGGCTCACGCCTGTAATCCCAGCACTTTGGGAGGCCAAAGCGGGCAGATCAGGAGGTCAGAAATCCCGGCCAACATGGTGAAACCCCGTCTCTACTAAACACACACACATTACCCGGGTGTGGTGGTGGGCGCCTGTAATCCCAGCTACTCGGGAGGCTGAGGCAGGAGAATAAAAGCTTGAACCTGGGAGGTGGAGGTTGCAATGAGCTTAGATCACGCCACTGCACTCCAGCCTGGGTGACAGCGCGAGACTCCGTCTTGGAAAAAAAAAAAGAATTTTCTCATCATCCATCCCCTCACCCTTCTGAGTCTCTATTGTCCATCTTTTCATTCTCCATGTCCATGTGTGCTTAGATTTCAGCACCTACTTAGGAGTGATAACATGCAGAGTTTGACTTTCTGTGTCTGGTTAGTTTCACTTAAGATAATGGCCTTCAGCTCTATCCATGTTGCTGCAAAAGAACCATTCTTTTTTTTTTTTGAGAAAGGGTCTCCGTCTGTCACCCAGGCTGGAGTGCAGCGGCACAATCTCGGCTCACTGCAACCTCTGCCTCGTGGGTTCAAGCGATTCTCATGCCTCAGCCTCCCTAGTAGCTGAAATTACAGGCGCATGCCACCACGTCTGTCTCATTTTTGTATTTTTAGTAGAGACAAGGTTTTACCACGTTGGCCAGCCTGGTGTTAAACTCCTGATCTCAGGTGACCCATCCGCCTCAGTCCCCCAGAGAGCTGGGATTACAGGCGTGAACCACTGCACCCAGGCTTAATTTTTAAAATTATATTGCATTAAAATATTTATCTCAATGACTAAGTTTTTTGATACCCTCTTAAATTATGCACCCAAGGCTCGAGCATGGTGGCTCACACCTGCCATCCCAGCACTTCGGGAGGCCAAGGTGGGAGGATTGCTTGAAGCAAGGAGTTCGAGACCAGCCTAGGTGGCAAAGTGAGACCCTGTCGCTACGCACACAAAAAAGTGATATACTCAAAGCCAGCCTGAAGCAAATCTCTCACGGGTCTCAGCCTGGTCATACACACAATATGCAAAGACACACAAAGACACACGCACTGGCTGGGCGTGGTGGCTCACGCCTGTAATCCCAACACTTTAGGAGGCGGAGGCTGGTGGATCACCTGAGGTCAGAGTTCGAAACCACCCTGGCCAACATGGTGAAACACCGCCTCTACTTAAAAAACAACTTGCCCAGGCTGGTCTCAACTGCCTGACGTCTCAACACAGTGATCCCTCCCCTCCTCGGCCCACCCAAAAGTGCTAGGGATACAGATGTGACCACCAATGTCCGGGCCACACAGACAACTTTTTGGGAGGGCGTTCTATATATTTAGTACTAAACTTTAAGTGTGGGATTCTCTGACCCAGCAAATCCACCTCTAGGAACTTATTCAGTGAGATAATAGTCAAACTAGGCAGAGAACTATACAAGAATAGGCAGGAGCCGGATGGCTCACGCCTGTAATCCCAGCACTTTGGAGCGCTGAGGCAGGCGATCAAACCTGAGTCAGGAGTTCGAAGACCAGCCTGGCCAAAACTGGTAAAACCTCCATCTCTACTAATCAAAGTACGAAACTCTAGCCAGCCATGGTGGGCGGGCACCTGGTATCCCCTTATGAGCTGAGCGAGGAAGAATTGGCTTGTACCTGGGGAGGCAGAGGTGCAGTGAGCCGAGATTGCACTACACCCTGGGGACAAGAGCGAGACTTCGTTCAAGAGCAAAGAAAAGAAAACGAATAACGCCAGGGTGTTAAGAGCTCTGAATCAAACAGCCAGGTGGAGACTCTGGCTTCCCCCTCAGCTGTGGACCTGAGTCATTTTTTTTGTTCCTTTTACTTCCCGAGGTAACATGGGCCATCTCATAGAGGACTCCATGAGAAGTGGAAATGCTTGCCTTCTGCTAGCCATAGAGGGTGGGCTTGCTGTTATCATCATGAAAGAAAAGGCATTAAACAGAGGCTGGAGGCCACGCCGCGTCGGCTCACACCTGTAATCCGACTATTGGAGCCGAAGGCAGCGGATCACTGAGGTCAGGAGATCGAGACCATCCTGGCATCATGGCTGACCCGGTCTCACTTACAAAAAATGCCAGGCGTGTGGCAGGGCACCGTAGTCCAGCACTCGGAGGCTGAGGCAGGAGAATGGTGTGACCAGGAGAGCGGAAGCATTGAGCAGTGCCGAGAATCCCGTCACCACTGCACTCCAGCCTGGGTGACCAGAGCAAGACTCTGCCCAAAAAAAAAAAAAAGAAGTTGAAACAATTGAGGTACCTGGGCTCTGGGATTTTTTGTAGAGATGGGGTTTTACGTTGGCTAAAATGAAAGTGCTGGGCATGGTGGCTCATGCCTGTAATCCCAGCAATTTGGCGAGGCCCAGGTG